CAATTCCCAGATTATCCTATAAAGGCTATTCGCCTTGATAATGCTGGAAAATTCTCATCTCAAGCTTTTGATGATTACTGTCTATTAGTTGGGATAAAAGTTGAACATCCTGTAGCTTATGTTCATACTCAAAATGGCCTTGCAGAGTCATTTATTAGACGCCTGCAATTGATAGCAAGACCACTACTTATGAAAATAAAATTGCCCACTACTGTTTGGGGCCATGCTATCTTGCATACAGCATCACTTATCTGTCTCAGACCGACACATTATAATAATTATTCTCCGTCATAATTAGTTTTTGGTCATGAACCAGATATTGCCCATATACGAATTTTTGGATGTGTTGTATATGTGCCAGTAGCACCATCACAGCGCAGTAAGATGGGCCCACAGAGAAGGTTAGGAATATATGTTGGGTTTAAATCACCCTCTATTATTCACTATCTTGAACCATTGACGGGAGATTTATTTACTGCTCGATTTGCAGATATTCGGTTTGATAAAATAAATTTCCCACAATTAGGGGGAGAGATAAAGGAAATCAAAAGAGAAATTGTGTGGAAAATTTTATCGTTATCTCATTTTAATCCACGTACCCCTATATGTAATCAGGAGGTCCAGAAGATCATCCATTTACAAAATATAGCAAATCAAATGCCATACGCATTTACTGATTTGAATAGAATAACTAAGTTATATATCCTTGCAGAGAATGTACCTATCCGAATTGATGTCCCAGCAGGACCATCTACTAGCTTGAGAGCTAGTGAACCTAAAGCACGCCTGAAGCGTGGTAGGCCTTTGGGTTCTAAGGATCGAAATCCTCGAAAAAGAAAATCGACAAATGATAACGATACTATGAAGGGATCTCCTAAAGAGACCCAAGATCTGATTAGTTCTGAGATTCCTGAAGAAATCACTAAACCCGAGACTCAAGCAAGCAAGGAACTTTTAATAAGTTCTACTAGTGATGGGATTAATTTAAATCGATCTGAAATAGTGGTGGATAATATTTTTGCTTATAATGTTGCACTTAA